GTAATCTATTTAAACCTGAACCTTAAATTGAATGGAACTAAACCTGTAATCTATTTAAACCTAAACCTTAAATGGAATGGAACTTAACCTATAATATGTTTAAACCTGAACCTTAAATTTAAAGGAAATAAACCTGTAATATGTTTAAACCTGAACCTTAAATTGAAAGGAACTAAACCTGTAATATGTTTAAACCTGAACCTTAAATTTAAAGGAAATAAACCTGTAATCTATTTAAACCTAAACCTTAAATTGAAAGGAACTAAACCTGTAATCTATTTAAACCTGAACCTTAAATTGAAAGGAACTAGACCTGTAATCTATTTAAACCTGAACCTTAAATTGAAAGGAACTAGACCTGTAATCTATTTAAACCTGAACCTTAAATTGAAAGGAACTAGACCTGTAATCTATTTAAACCTGAACCTTAAATTGAAAGGAACTAGACCTGTAATCTATTTAAACCTGAACCTTAAATTGAAAGGAACTAGACCTGTAATCTATTTAAACCTGAACCTTAAATTGAAAGGAACTAGACCTGTAATCTATTTAAACCTGAACCTTAAATTGAAAGGAACTAAACCTGTAATCTATTTAAACCTGAACCTTAAATTGAATGGAACTAAACCTGTAATCTATTTATATGTAAACATCGAATCTATCCAAATCTCGAATTAAAAAAAAACTTTTAATTTTAAAACCCAACCCTTCGTTTTAAAGATATCAAGAAAACTGTGCGTTACTATTAAACTTGATATTATCTTAAACCTGATGGAAATTAATTCTGTGATAAAATATCATTTTGATTAACCAGAAGGTGGATTTAATGAATGAGGAGAAGTAGTTTAACTCGGTACGGAAAACTGAGCCACTTATTTAATAGGGCGTAAAGGGCATAAAAGGAGTAGTTCAACTAGGCATACCTAGTTCAACTACTTCTCTCGATTCATGAATCCGACCTCTGTTCTGTTATTTTATTACATGGTAAAGTTACTAATTATAAAGTTGGCATGGTGAGGATCATTACGTATTATGGTAAATTATTTTTGATCAGAATCATTATTAGTTTTACATTAATGTTTATGTGAGCATTACCAGACAGGTTTATATAGGTATATACTTGAATACAGTTTATACAGATACAGGTTTATGCTTAAACCAGGAGTGGATACAGATACAGGTTTATATTTGAACTATACTTGGATACAGATGCAGGTTTATATTTAAACTATACTTGGATACAGATGCAGGTTTATATTTAAACTATACTTGGATACAGATGCAGGTTTATATTTAAACTATACTTGGATACAGATGCAGGTTTATACCTAAACTATGCTTGGATACAGATACAGGTTTATGTTTAAGCTATACTTGGATACAGATACAGGTTTATGCTTAAACAATGCTTGGATTCAGATACAGGTTTATACTTAAACTATGCTTGGATACAGATACAGGTTTATACTTAAACTATACTTGGATACAGAAACAGGTTTATACTTAGACTTTATTTGGATACAGATACAGGTTTATACTTTAACTATACTTTGATATAGATACATGTTTATACTTAAACTATGCACGGATGCAGATACAGGTTTATACTTAAACTATACTTGGATACAGATGCAGGTTTATATTTAAACTATACTTGGATACAGATACAGTTTTATACTTAAACTATACTTGGATACATATACAGGTTTAAACTTAAACTTTACTTGGATACAGATACAGGTTTATACTTAAACTATACTTGGATACAGATACAGGTTTATACTTAAACTATACTTGGATACAGATACAGGTTTATACTTAAACTATACTTGGATACAAAAACAGGTTTACATTGAACTAAGATAATGTTTACACACGGTTTATTTTTGCTCCTTCGAGTTCCGTGACTATGTAGGAAACATTGTTTTTATATTAAAATATTATGTTTTGACAGAAATCTAGGTTCGCCTCTTCAATTAAAGGGGCTGTAGACGTAATTCTAATGACTCTACATGTAAAGAGTTAAATGGTACAATTTAAACTTTTCTCTTACTTTTATAAAAAAAATTTTTTTTGAAAATGATCTATTTTTGTCAAAATATCCCCATCATCTATGCTCATGAGGGGGCTGTAGCAAATACAGAGGCCCATAGTAAATTACGTGGTATTGTCCGCATAGCTAAATGTTGCGAGCTTCCGATTGATATTGATAGCTAACGAGATCGGGCCCAGTGGAAGAGGCGTTGATAGATCAGAGATAGTATTCGTGTGGTTCCCTGTTTTGGTAAACAGGTTTAGGATCGTGCATTGATAGTTACGAGATTGTATCCGTGTGTTGACATTGATAGTCAAGAGAATCTGAGTTGTACCTGGCTCGATACGTTCCCAGAAACTGTTATGGAGTAGGCATTTACTACAGGGCGTCATAATCCGTCCAGTTATGCATCCAACGTTAACTTTTAGCTGACATCCAGGGGATGATCATTAGAGTTAGGGTTAGAATCTGATACGGTCTAGCTTTGCAGCTTTAGAATTTGATTCGGAGCTCCGGGTTCGGATTTGAGGATTGATATATCTGATTAAATGGGCTGGGAAATGGGGAATCGGAAGGGAACATTTCCTAATGGAATTATTAAGCAAATATCACAGGGAAAAGAAGAGATGAAAACATAAATGTTTCTGAAAATATCATTTAGGAACACTCAACTTTCTTCTTTAAATATATATATTATATATTGATCCATATTTTTAGATCTTTTTAAATGACTTGTTTGTTTGTCTGCTCGCCCTATAGTGTTTGTGTGAGGGTAAAAAACGTCTAACTAACTAAACCTAACCTAGCATAAAAACGCGGTCTAACTTTTTTTTCTAACTTTGTAAGTAAGATTGTAAAGTTTGGAATGGAACTAACCACTCGTCACAAACTCTAATTATAAGTTCCAAAAATTTAAGGATTAGAGAATTATAATTTTTGGCGAGTTCATCTAAAAAAAAATTGTATCGATTAATTCAAAATTGTACTGCAAGCTAAGGTTTTGATTGGATGAAAATTCCGAGTTAAAATAGGGCGCGAAGCGACATGAATTATTGGCATGAATATAAAAGAATATGATGCAGTATAAGTAATGTATAATTGTATGTATCCTAAATACATACACAACTTGTATTAGCGAGGGATGTTTAACTTTGAAAACTTTTTTACAAATAATTAAAGTATTTTTTTTTTCTGTTATTCTAAAGATATGACATAGGCATTAATTACTCGCTCCCATCTCTATTTTTCTTATCTCTAATTTTCTAATTGCCAACTGGTGGTGTAAACCTTTGATATTTCAAATTTTGACTAATCCATAAGAATTGATCGGTTAAAATGTTTAAGGTCCACGATATCAGGTTGCAAATAAAAAATAATTAGTAATTAGAGTTTAAGACGAGCTAGTTATTCTTGTGATATATTGTCAGCATAAAACTGTCTGATATTAGGTTAGGGGTATATATATTAAATATTTACGATTTAGATACTTTGAGAAAATTATCTGTTTTCCCACTTAATCCTTCAAACCCTTGTTTCTTGTTTGAGCGGATATCCTGATATAACTTCATATATTATATATATAGTCTCCGGAGAATTACTAAACTGTCACATTTGTGAGAAATGAATTCAAGGTTTAAGCGATTTTGTCAAAGAAAAGTCAGGAGTCAGAGTTCAGGTTTAAGTTTCAGGGTTCAGGGTTTAGAATTAAGGATTTAGGACATAAGGAGCCTCGAATTAGAATTCATGATTCAGGGTATATCACAGGTTCAGGACACAGACGTACGTCTGGATTCAGGATTCAGGGTTTATGGTTTAGAATTAAGGATTCAGGACACAAGGAGTCTGGATTCAGGATTCAGGGTTTAGGGTTTAGAATTAAGGATTTAGGACACAAGAAGTCTGGATTCAGGATTCAGGGTTTAGGGTTTAGGTTTTAGAATTAAGGATACAGGACACAAGGAGTCTGGATTCTGGATTCAGGGTTTAGGGTTTAGAATTAAGGATTTAGGACACAAGGAGTACGGATTCAGTATTTATGGTTTAGGGTTTAGAATTAAGGATTAAGGAAACAAGGAGTTTGGATTCGGGAATCAAGGTTTAGGGTTTAGAATTAAGGATTTAGGAGCCCGAATTGAGTATTCATGGCTCAGGACATGGTTCAGAAGGTAGAATTAAAGATTCAGGAGACATGAGCCTGAATTTAGGATTTAAGGCTCAATGTATTTAGAATTAAGATTCGGACACAGAGCCTGTATTCAGGATTCAGGGTTCAGGGTTTATGATTAAGGATTCAGGACATAAAAGCCTGGATTTAGAATTAAGGATTCAGACTTGGGAGCCAAAGTTCGGAATTTCTCTAAAAGAATACGAATTCAGTTTATTAGTGTTATGATAAATTATCCAAATTTCAGATTGAAAGAATAACGGTTCTGCGATTCAGAATTCGTATTCGGCAGTCAGGGTTTAAAATTAATGATTCAGCTTTAATAATTCAGAATTGTATTTTATTTGCTCTGCTGTTTAAAAACATTGTTTTTGTAAAAAAGTGTGAATCTTAATTGGAAATCTTGGTAATTATAATTAAATATATAAAACTTTCGAACCTAGAAAAAAAATCACGCAACCTGGTAGGTTCAAAATATAAAAACAAAACTTATTATTTCTATTAATCAGAAATATTTTTAGTGAACATGCTATGTATGAAAAAATCAATGTTACAAACATGATTTTATTTGCATCGTTAATAATTCATATGAATTTTAAACTGAATGAGTTTTACTACGATTGTGAGTGGAGAGAAATCTATCGGTACCGGTCCGACCAAGATCCAGTTGATGAAAATGAATTGTAACTGTACCGGCCCGACCGAGAATCGGTAAATGAAGAAGAATTGTAATTGTACCGGCCCGGGAAGACAACACTCCGAGGAAAGAGACGGGAAATTTGTTCCCCAAGTTTGTTTTAGTAAACCCTAAACCTTGAGAGTGGAGAGGCTGTGTGCTCTAGTTAGTAAAATGATTCAGTGATATAATCTCATTTTATAGCAGGTGAATTCTACCTCCATAGAACATTAATAGATTTATTTATAGAAAACTGCATGTACGTAGAAATCAAATATTAAAGGGACTGTAAGCGTAATTTCAAGTGATCCCCTCAAAGCTGAAATGGCAATGCTGATTCACAATGGCAACTTTTAACATTTATTTGATCAATATTGGAAGAAATATTTTCGTTTTTGTTGGTTTAATTCTGATAACTTATACATATTTTCCTGCAGTAGAAATGCGTAAACCACTTTAATAGAGAAACCATAATTGAAAATAATCAGATTTTTAGAATATAAACATTGATATCTAATTCACACTAAATGAGACAAAGCTTTTAAGGGTACCATAGTGAATCGGGCATTGCCATCTTTGCACATCGAGGGTTATTTAAAATTATGCTCACAGTCTCTTAAATCAGAATTTTACTATGATTGATATCGATTCAAATTTTAAACGATTCAACTTTAAAACGATTCAATTATGAAAGATCGTTGTTATTTTTATAAATTGATTTTGATATAATTGTTTTTATTTTTTCTAATTTTTTTTTTTTTGAAAAGATGAAATGTGCCTCTGGTTTCAGTAAATATTTGCATATAAATATTATTAAAATAGTTTTAATTTATTTTGACCAATCAGGAACGACTTAAAAAGTTAAAATTAATAAAACTTGGATTTAGAAACCTGAGCGGAAAACTTTAGAATTGTGGATGTCGAGATCAATGCTTGATCTTCTCTTTTTGTTAAATTCAAAATTAGTCTAATCTTTAGTACGTATCAACAAAAGTTTATAAAACTCAACCAATCGAGTGGGGGTTGGAGAAACCAGAACAGCCAATCAGAGAAGCCGGGAAATTGAAATTTTGCGCGCCATTTAATGGGTGGACTCTTATTGGTATCTATATATAGAAAAGTGATCTATTCTGTGGTGTCTGTTTGTTTGTTTATTTGTCCAATCATAGTTCATAGCTCGTGTCTAAATTTTGTCTGAAGAGAAAAAAAACTTATTTTAGAAAGGTTTTTATCATAATTTTATTGATTTTCAATTCCCAGTACATTTTAAACAGAATGGAGCAAACCTCTTAGATGCAAACCCGGTTTTGTTCGGTCGAAAATTTACGTTTTAAGGATTTAAGAAAATTTAAAAAAAAAATAGTTTTCATGATTCTGCCAAACCTTTTTTTTTACTTCTTCGATAGCAAACTTATTGCTATTGTGATTTTCCAACCCCAATATGTTTGCAAAATTAATTAAAAGTCTACGACATCAGGTTGCAAAAAAATAGGATTAAAAAAGTAGAATTTGTGGCGAGTGGTCAACTCAATTGCTTGAATATTAAATAATTTTTAAAGCATGGTGTGGAAGGGAGNGGGGTAGGAAAAATATTGGTTTGATTTGTGAACGTTATAGGAATAGGTTTTATTTACATTATCGACTTAATATAGGTTTTATAGTTATTGGCCTAATAAAGGTTTGATAAGTTTATCTACTTTCAAGTTTTTTATTATCTTTTAAACTTTTATGACACAATGCAGTTTTAATTTGGTTTTGGTTCATTGGCCCAGTCGAAGTTTAAAAAAAGATTTAATTTTGTATTAAATTATGGTTTGATCAGCGAACAAATTATTCATTTAAAACTTTTTATTAGTTCAAATGGGATTACGAATTATTTTTCTTATTTCTTGAATATTTTTGTTTGCAGAATTTATTGAACCAGAATTGAATTCAGTTTTATATCAACTTAAACTAAACTAGTAAACATAATACGAAGTAGTTCAACTATTTATTTTATTAAAATACAAAATAATTCTTCAATTGACAAACTTTATAAATAATCACAAGCTTGAATTTCACCTCACACCAGTTGTAAAAAGTATTGAAGCTGGAATATGCCAATAAAAAGTTTAGATGTTCACATTTATTCATTCATTTATTAATTTTAAAGTTAGGCGTCGAAATTTTGACAACTTTATCCCGCTTTGAATTTTCAAGCCAGGGAAATTTCAAATTTGGTTCGGCCAGGTGGGGGAAGGGGGGGGGGTAACTAATTTTTAAGGTGTGTAGAAAAGCATTATCTAAGTTAGTTCTGAATAATTGAAAATCTATAATTGGTAGATGTTTATGCTAATGTAAAGTTGGAACCAAATATATATAAATATAAATATATATATATCTTAATTACTTAGGCCTTTAAATATATGAAATATAAAATTTTAAATTCGGTTCTAAATACTGTTTTAAATTGATTATTTAAGGCAGATAGAGTTATCTTTAATTCAATCATTAACTTAAAAAGAAAAGTTAGAACTTTAATTCAAGAAATGGAAAACAATCTTTTCATTAAACATGGGGGGGGGGGGGCAATAGACAAGGTTAGAGGGGGAGGGATGGTAATTCAAATTTTATGCATTATTTTACCTCACGAGTATAAGATGAATATACTATTATTGCATACCAAGGATATTATAGGTAGCTACATCATGGAATAAATGAATGGGTTGGAAGGATCAAGTAGGAAAAAAAAAATTGGAAAAGGATCGATAACAAAGATCTTTATGAAGGATCGGGATAAAGAATCCAAATCGAGGATCGTTATAAAAAATCGTTGTCAAAATTGATATAATAGATCGTTGTAAAGGATCGGGGTAAAGATTTAAATCTACGGATCGTTATAAAGGATATCAGAATAAATAGTCAAAATCAAAGATCGGATAAATGATCATGAAAGGATCAAGATCAATGATTGGGATAAAGGACGGATGAACTCACTTCTGTTTCATACTTTTGTGACTTTAAACCTTAAAGCGTACTTTTTCATCATTGATAGTGATAGAGGAATGATAAAATATATTCCTAGCTAAGAGGTTATCATGGATATGATGTACTGAACACGTTTCTATTCAAAACTACTCATCTTCTCCTATCTATGATATTTAAAGTAAGATCGGTAAAACTATGAGCACACATATACCATATTTGAAGAAATAAGAGAGCTGGGTGGGAGGGGAACCTCTCTTTACACCCATACCCTTGCTCTATACTTTCTTCTATGACTCCAACCCTTCTCCCCCCTTCCCCTAACTAATTGCCCCTCCCCCTCTCTGCTTATTTAGCTCTCCCCTTGTGGGAAAATATTAATGTGGTGTTAAGTGACTTTCCCGATAATATTATCTTTATTCTAACATCTTGGTGGATTTTCATCACGAGATTTCGAGGTTTTAGCACTGGCATATTGGAGCTATTAATTTAACATCTGCCTGTTATCCATTCTTTCAACTTGTTTCATTTTTATATCCTTCTCGGGTTCTTTAGCATTTGTTTCATAATAGAAATAATTTTCTCTGAAAAACATTTCCAATGTTTATAACCTTTAAAAAACGTATACATAACTTGACTTATAAGTTTATTAATATCAAAACAGACAAAAAGTGAGATTTATCTTGATCCTTAACTTTATTAAAAACTTGCTTCAGAATCCAGCTTTGCCTGCAAACTATTTTTTTCTTTAAAACGCCAAACTAGACCTTCTCAGACCAAGCTCAGAACATTTTCGTGGTTCTACAGAGTTCCCCAGTTAAAATTTGAGTCAAATCGGTCCAAGGGTTCCGTAGTTCTGATCGGACAGACAAACAAACAGACATTACTTTACTTTATGCATAAATAGATACACAATTTATTCTTTAGCTTGTCTAAATCTGTTTTATTTATATTCAAAGAGTTTTTAATCAGAAAAGTTTTTGCTTTTATGCACTTTGCACATTTTATATTCTCAGGTTTCAAGAGTTCTATTTTCTCCTTTAAACTCCTTAATTTTACAGGATTCTAGTTTGAGAAGAAACTATGGATGTGTCCGGCTCTGGTTTAACAAACACACTGATTTTGTTTGCTTAGGCTGAACCTACTCCATCTACCCTCACCTGCACTGGACCCTAATCTGAGAATTGAAAAATATTGAAAAATGTCTCCGGAATATCAACTAAAGCTGAAAAGATGCTCCCGGAGTGCAAACACTCTCCGGTGTCTGGACGGATAGGAAACTGATCATGATTCTGAGAATATTATAGTTCTGCTAATCTAAAAAATAACCTGAATCATGAGGTTATCCATCCTATTTCTTCTCTTCTCTCCTCTACTCTATAAAGTAGAATCTGAGACCAGATCTATTCATATAAACTGTGAATCTGAAGATCCCGGATTTAATCTTGAATCTGCAGATTACAGGGACCCGGATCTTCTAGTTCTGGATCAGTGTTCCCTGCAGGATATAGAGTTCTGGCTCCGGTTCTTGGAGAAGAATTATTCAAACTTTATCACGCTCTGGCTGAAGGGAGTCAAGGTTTCCGAAATGGGGTACAGGACGGAGAACCCCCATTGCGCCGGGGCGCACAAGAAACTGGAGAAGTTAAAGATCAGTGAAACTGAGTTTACGGAGAAGAATAGTGAAACTTTGGAGTCTTTACTCCGATGCAGATCGATCTCAACCCTAGAGGTTACTGAAAATATTCATGGATTTTTCTCTAGAATACAGGCATCTAATATTACTCTTCTAAACGCCAGTAACTCGAACATCAAGGAGTTACAGGACGGAGTGTTCTCTGATCTCAAGCACCTGGAGGAGCTGGACTTGTCAAGGAACAGGCTGGTTAAACTACAGGGTGGAGTATTTAGGAACAATCGTAGGTTGGAGAAACTTCATCTTCAGTTCAATACAATTAGTTTCATCAGTCGCCAGAGTTTTATAGGTAATAATCTAATACAAACAATATTTTTTCATTATTATTACTTTTGAGAAAAAATATATTAGAATTATTGTGTTTCTCTCTCTTCTATTCTCCGATAAGAATATAAAAATAATATTATCTGTTCTAAGATATTAACTTTGTAATTTTACTTCAACTTATGTTTTATTTATCATGAAAAAAATATTTTAGGTTTGCGTCATTTGAAGTATCTTGATTTAAGCGGGAATGATATTGCGTCAATGTGGCTCCAGGTTCAGGTGTTCAACCATCTCCACAACCTCAAGATATTGAACCTCAGTAGAAACCGTATCACGGAGCTGGAGAACGGTATTCTCCTAGATTTGCCGAACCTGGAGAGGTTGGATCTCTCCAGGAACGAGTTAACCCGTCTCTCCCGAGCTCCGTTCCAAAACCAGACAAGGTTGGAGTTCCTCTCTCTCTCTGAGAACTCTATTTCTAGTATTGAGCAGAGCTCCCTGCAGGGTCTCTCCTCCAACCTGAGAAGGTTGGATGTTGAGAAGAATAAGATAAAGTTTATCCATGATGAATCCCTGGCTCATCTGGTGGGACTGAAAACCCTGAATTTACTGGGAAACAGACTGGACTCAGTTCCCTCCGCTGTCAAATACCTTTCAGATCTGACAGAGCTGAATTTAGGTGAAAATGAGATAAGTGAATTGAATAGTGATTTCATGCTCCACGGAGCTAACCTGACAATTCTTATTCTAGAGGGAAACAAGGTTGAAAGCATTCTTTCAAACACATTCAACTCAACCAGGAACCTAGAGACCCTAAACCTGGCTCACAACCGGATATCCAACCTTCAACCGGATGGATTCTCTCAACTCACGGAATTAAAGTATTTGACCCTGGCGGAGAACCGATTAACAGATATAAACGGAGTTCTCACTTCTCATCCGTCCCTGCTCCGCCTTAACCTGTCCTACAACCAGCTCAAATGGTTCGACATGGCGTTCTTCCCTCGTCAGCTGGAGGAGCTGGAGATACAAGGGAACCAGGTTGAGGATTTAGGCAACTACTACAAGCTGGTTGAGGGGTTCAATCTCAAGTATCTAGATGCTAGTAGCAACAAAATATCCGTCCTTGGACAGCATACCTTCGTGGTGAGTTATTTAGTTCTTAAACTCATAAACACAATTTCAAAAAAGCTTGCAATATCTCGGAGAGTAAAGTTTAAGGAAAAATTTAGAGTTAGTTTCAATCTCAATATTTGAAATAAGACATAGTCAGAGTTTCCATTTTGAAATCTAAATCTACAAAACTCTACCTGAGGTGGATATTGTGGATTTAAAAAAAAATCTTAGCCTAAATTTCTCCTGTTTTTCTTTTTATCTTTTAACGTTTTATTACTCAGTCGATTACAAGGTTGTATAATAATGCGATTCAATGTACGAAAAATGTCGTCTCCTAGGATAGATAGATAAATACCCAATATGACGTCACTCTCGCTTTTATAATAAGTGACGTCATATTGTGTATTTATCTATCTATCTCAAGAGACGACATTTTCCGTACATTGAAGCGCATCAAGAGTAACTAACCTTATTATACAACCTTGGTCGAATTCAAACAATAAAGTTGATTAATTGATTGATATTGTTTGGAACCAGATATTTTATCAGAGAATATAAACTTTGGATTCAATAAAATCTAAAATGTTTTATTTGACTTTACTGATTAAATTTTACATTTAGGATTCTATTGAAGAGCTCAACCTCAGACAGAATAACATTTCTGATCTTGGCTCCGGAAGCTTCGCTGGACTCAGGAACCTGGTCGCGGTTGATCTCCGGTATAACGCACTCCGAACCATTCCCAGGAACAGTTTGAAGATTAGTCCTCTTGCAGGTTCGTATTTTGTTTTCCAGGGTTAAAGGGACTGTATGCGTAATTTCAAGTGATCCTCCGTGCAAAGATGACAATACCCGATTCACAACGGTATACTTTATCCGATCAATAATATGGAAGATATTGTCGTTTTTCTGGGCTTAAAAGTGGTCCGATAATTCTTATATGTTTTCCTGGATTAGAAATTATAAATTAGATTAGTCCTTATGTAGAGAAATCACAATTGAAAATAATCAGTTTTTCAAATTCTAAACATGGATATCTAATTCATACTTGATCAGACAAAGCTTTTAAGGGTACCATTGTGAATCGGATTGCATGGAAGGTCACTTGAAATTGTACTATCAGTCCCTTTAAGATATGGTGAGAGATGAAAAATATTTCAGCGTGAGTTTGAAAATATCTTTTTTCTCTCTTAAAATATGATTAAATGTTGAAGAAAAGTTATCATTTTATTTGTGCAGATTTTTTTATTTACAAGAATGAATAGAGAGAAAGGAGAAGAGAAATTAATAATATTTTTATTACTTTTTTGTTATTTTGTAGCATTTTAGGCAAAGAATGAATAGAATAAGGGGGGGGGGGGGACTGTTTTACAAGGAATAGAAACAGTGTTGTTTTTACTTTTCTCAGATTCCTTTTATTGGTTATTGATGAAACTAAAGAAAAAACAACAAAAAGAACAAACTTAAAAATTTAAACAAATGAAAATTTTTTACAGGATATTAAAAGTTTTTACTGAAAAGGTTTTGGAAATTGTTTTTAAATGTTTTGTTTTCTGATCAAAGTTTGAATATTACTCCACCCTGTAAACTAATATGAAAAAGAAATGTCGGAACCAAATGGTCCAAATTTCCATATTTATGAAATATATTTGTCATCCCGGTCGGGGGGCCTTGATCACTCAGACTCTCAACCTAAACATGATTTTATTATTTATATTTTCTAAAAATCATTCCAAACCAACAGATTTTTATCTTTTGATTCCTGAATTTATCTTTAGGCCTAAACCTAGAATCCTTAGTACTTTTAGATATTTTAAACTTTAAACTTAAACCTACATATTATCTTTAAATATTTTTAACTCTGAACCTAAACCTACATATAATTATCATTATCTTTAAATAGTTTTAACTCTGAACCTAAACCTACATATAATTATCATTATATTTAAATAGTTTTAACTCTGAACCTAAACCTACATATAATTTTCATTATATTTAAATATTTTTAACTCTGAACCTAAGCCTAGAATTTTAGTATCTGTATTAACTATCCGGTCGCAAAGATTTAGGGATAAGAAAATGTTGATGAGTGTTCAGTTTCTTTAAGAAAGAAAAGCCAAGCCAAGTTTACAAATGTTAAGAGTAATGTGTCACTGTCTTCAAAATCTTTCTTTAAATGACCCAATAAATTAGAAACTCAAGGAAATCTACTTTTTGCTCGTCAAATTTCTATTTCTAATTTTTCAATCTTACATTTGAATTTTGTTCTGATGAGGGAAGAAAATTAATTCTAAAATCATAAAAGAGAGAAAGCCCCGACATAATGAATAAGAAAGTTAAGTTGAAAGATGAGAGCATAAAAATACTTGAATTCAGAAATAAAACCTTGAACATATTTCAAATAAACGATTTTGCATTTTCAAATAAACACAATTTTACTTTATTTAGGTCAAATATAGCATTTTAACAGGAGTGGGGAGCAAGGAAATTTGATAAGGAAATTGGGAAAGAAATAAAATGGAAGGAAGTCCTGAAATCCTGAGGGGTTGGGCCGGGGGGGGGGTTAAGTCGTGAAAAGAAAACTAAAAGAGGAAGTTTAAATAGTAAAGTAAATAGGTTGGAGGAGCATTTTTTTAACAAGGGGGGAGGGGGGGGGGGAGGATAAGTGAGGAGTGTTGAAAAAAGGATAATGTCTGTTGAAAGGAGAAAGAAAATATAACAAGAGTGGACAAATTATTAAAGGATGAAGGACGAATAATAGTATGAAGGGCGGATGAAAGTATGACGGATGAAGAACGGATGAAAGTATGAAGAACGGATGAAATTATGAAGAAGGGATGAAAGAATGAAGAACGAATGAAAGGATGAAGGACGGATGAAAGTATGAAGGACGGATGAAAGGATGAAGAACGGATGAAGAATGAAGAACGGATGAAAGAATGAAGAACGGATGAAATTATGAAGGACGGATGAAAGGATACAAGATGAAAGGATGATTCGACTGATAAAAGCATGAAGGGACGAAGAACTGATGAAAAGACTCAGAACGGATAACACGATAAAAGGAAGAATAACAGATGAAGAAAGGATAAAAGAATGTGGAAAGGAAGAAAAATTCGATGATAGTTTGAAAGGATGGATGAGAATCGAAAGGATGGTCTGAATGAATGAATGAATAAAGTCTAGAATATTGCAGGTTTAGAGAAGATAAAACTAATATTAAACTAATGGAATGAGTTTAATGGAACCAATATAAACATAAACTTCTGCCTCTTCCCACTTAACATTTCTTCTCTTTTATTCACATTTATTCTTCTTTTTCAAATAAAAACATTTTTATCTAAAATAAAATCAACCTTTGCATATTTTACCTAATTGTCTTGATTTGATTTTAATATACTCATGCATTAGAAGAGGGACACGACTGATGTGGACAAGTGTATGGTATAGGGTGTCCCAATAAACCTGGGAATTGAGAGACTACTTGAAAGTCGTCTTTGATTTAGGATATTTAAGGCATGGCAAAGAAAGTATAAAAATGAGGCTGTATACGTCTTGCGAGCTTTTCATAAGGTGGTCTAAACCTTTCTTGTATCTTAAAAATTGACGAAGAAATTAGATGCTAAGACAATTTAGATTTATTAAAATAATTAAAGGGAACTGAGTTTTTGCCACAAACTCAAATCTTCTAATACCTTTTTATTTGAAACCTGATGGTTTAAACCTGCAACATTTCAAACTTAGATTATTTATTTTAACAGAATTTATAGTTTGAAATATCAAAGGTCTACTACATTGGGGTTCAAAAATATCGGAAGTAGAAAATCAGAGTTTTTGGCAAAATCTCAATTCCTTTGTACACATTTTCCAATATCTCCGTCAATTTTGAAGATGCAAAAATGGAAGACCACATTTTGAAAATCGCAAGACCAGGCGTTTTCGATATCAGATGTGTTAACTGGAAAATTGCAACAATTTGTTCATGAAAAAATGCCAGATGGATCGTCGTCACTTCATTACAATGTTTATTGGGACACAATAAAAAGTTTTGAATGCAATCAAATAAATTTTCTTCTTCATTTTTGGGGAAAATCAAAGCTATGAGTTCACAAAAATTAGACTTTTTCCTTATGTCTAAATTAGATTGAAGCGGTTAAATTAGTACACTGTAAAACTACACAGTAATTGAAGTAGGCTTATAAAAATAGGAGTAGGATAAAGTTACAAAGAATGGGGCCGGGGGGTATTAGTGTTCACAATTTTAAATTTCCTATTCACAGGACTAGTATCACGAAATAGGAGTAAGATTAAGACTGAGTATTAAAAAGTAATCTAAAAAATATTCTAAAAAAGTATTCTAAAAAAGTATTCTAAAAAATATTCTAAAAAAGTATTCTAAAAATGTATTCTAAAAAATAATTCTAAAAAAGTATTCTAAAAAAGTATTCTAAAAAGTATTCTAAAAAAGTATTCTAAAAAAGTATTCTAAAAAAGTATTCTAAAAAAGTATTCTAAAAAATATTCTAAAAAAGTTTTCTAAAAAAGTATTCTAAAAAATATTCTAAAAAGTATTTTAAAAAGTATTCTAAAAAAGTATTTTAAAAATATTCTAAAAAAGTATTCTAAAAAGTATTCTAAAAAATATTCTAAAAAAGTATTATAAAAAAGTATTCTAAAATTGGATCATGATAATGAAGTGGGAGTATTGGATAAAGTAGCGGGAGTAGAATAAAGTAGTGGGAGTAGGATAAAGGAGTGGTGGTAGAATAAAGAAGTGGTGGTAGAATAAAGAAGTGATGGTATGATACAGTAGCGGGAGTAGAATAAAGAAGTGGTGATAGGATAAAGTAGCGGGAGTAGGATAAAGTAGTGGTGGTAGGATAAAATAGCTGTGGTAGGATAAAGTAGCGGGAGTAGGATAAAGTAGTTGTGGTAGGATAAAGTAGCGGGAGAAGGATAAAGTAGTGGTGGTAGGATAAAGTAACGGGAGTAGGATAAAGTAGTGGTGGTATTATAAAGTAGCGGGAGTAGGATAAAGTAGTGGTGGTAGGATAAAATAGCGGGAGTAGGATAAAGTAGTGGTAATAGGATAAAGTAGCGGGAGTAGGATAAAGTAGTGGGAGTAGGATAAAGTAGTGGTGGTAGGATAAAGTAGTGGTGGTAGGATAAAATAGTGGTGGTAGGATTAAGTAGTGGTGGTAGGATAAAGTAGTTGGAGTAGGATGAAGTAGAGGTGGTAGGATAAAGTAGTGGGAGTAGGACAAAGAAGTGGTGGTAGGATAAAGTAGTAGGAGTAGGATAGAAGTAGTGGTAGTAGGATTAAGTAGTGGGAGTAATATGAAGTAGTGGGATTATAGAATAAAGCAGCAGGAGTAGAATAAAGTAGTGGGAGTAGGATAAAGTAGTGGGAGTAGGATGAAGTAGTGGGAGTAGGATAAAGTAGTGGGAGTATAGAATAAAGTAGCGGGAGTAGGATGTAGTAGTGGGAGTATAGAATAAAGTAGCGGGAGTAGGATAAAGTAGTGGGAGTATAGTATATGGTAGGAGAAGTGAGGGTGGTTTTTGTATTAAATTTCCTTTTATTGAGAGGATTTTAGTGTAAGGTTACATACGGTTTCTCACAGGTCCAGCTGAAGGGGGGAGTAAACTGCAGGGGGGGGGGGTACAGTGTGAACGAAAATATTCGATAAACTGTTTTGTAAATAGAGTAGACGTTGTGTGGGTTAAGAGTGGGAAGGGGAGGGGGCAAATGAGTAGAGTAGAGGGGGTGTCATATGCATGCATTGTTGCATATGATGGAAGTAAGCAAGAGATAATGGGGGATATTAACTTAGAATAAATAAAACAATGTTGAGATCTTGGAAAAAATTATTTTCTTTTTGTGTTGTATACATACGAAAAATATATTATATTAATAAATAAAACAATAGATTGACAATGCAGAGTATTACAGTACTTTTTATGTTTTTAAATAATAATAATTTCTTTTTATATATAAATGTTCAGAAAGAAAGACCCAAAAACTTCAAACAGACAAAATTGTCAAATATTTTGTTTTCTCATCTTTTATCTTGGTCCTTCTTCTGATTCTGAAATTTTTTACTTTCTCCATCCCTTCTCCCCCTTCCTATCTCTTCAACCTCTTCCCTAAACCTTTTCCCCATTTCCACCCTTCTCCCCCATCCCGGCCTTTCTCCTCCTTTCCAAACCATTCCCACCCGTTTCCAATCTCTTCTCCTTCTTAACCCCTTCTTCCTTCTTTGCTCCCCTTCTTCTCCTTCACCCCCCTTCTCCTCATTCACCCCTATTCTCCTAATTCAGTTTATTTGGCAATCCTCCCCCTTTTCTCCCTGTATGAGTGAACAGGAGAAATGTATGGATATTTAGAACAGAGCCATCCTTTCACCAAATCTTCTCAAATATTCAAGAAATAATTCTTTAGCCCAGAGTATACATAATTCAAGAATTTAAAATATAAAGTGTAGAAACCTGAATCTGGTATACAAGCCTAATATCAATATGAATAGATCTTGAAATATTTAAACAAATTTATTATAAATCATTCAGTTTACAAGATTACCAGTATTTTCAATTCACTGCAAAATTTTTTTTTTCTTCACAATCATTTCATCACGATTGAATTTAAAGAATCTTTAAATCATAATATTTCTCCAAAAATATGTAATTTGAAGACGTTATGGCCATGGGTCAACTTAAAGCTTAATTTTCTTCACTCATCTTACGTTTTTTGTTTTTGTTTTCTTTAAAACTTCTTCTCTAACCTAACCTAACCTAACCTAACCTAACCTAACCCCCCTGTCCCTTTTCCCCTCCCTGTCTCCCCCTTCCTGTTCCCAGTTTTCCTTCCGCTCCTTCTCCTCCTCCCTCCTCGAACCTTGTTGAAACTAAAATATTGATATTTTTAAAGAAAAGACAGTTCTGAACAATCAGAAACAAATTTCCTGAAAATACTTCCGGTTTCAGGAATCCAGAGAAAACAATTTTAAATGAGAAAGATTAAATAAAAAGAAATAGTTTTTGTTGTTTTAAAAGTTTGAAATATGATTCTTATCCCTGGATACTTATCTGCATTTTTTTATTTTCTTTTTCTTCTATTTAATTCTGTTTTTCTTCTTTGTTGTAAAGAGGTTGATTAAGGAATCAGATATCTATAAATCTATATCTGAAATTTCAGTAAATAGAACAAAATCGTTACACCATAAAAAGGGTAAATAATGAAAAGTCAAAACAATAAAGAGTTTGGAATCAGAAATACAAGATTCTGGTCTAAGCTTTGTCAGATTTGGTTTGGACTCCATCAGATTCTTGAGGATTTTCTCATGTTTGGTCAAATTCTGCTTAAGATCTATCAGATTCTGGCATGTATTTTGCCAGATGCTGCTTGGTGTCTATCAGATTCTGGCTTGTATTTTGCCAGATGCTGCTTGGTGTTTATCAGATTCTGGCATGTATTTTGCCAGATGCTGCTTGGTGTCTATCAGATTCTGGCTTGTATTTTGCCAGATGCTGCTTGGTGTTTATCAGATTCTGGCATGTATTTTGCCAGATGCTGCTTGGTGTCTATCAGATTCTGGCATGTATTTTGCCTGATACTGCTTTGTGTCTATCAGATTCTGGCTTGTGTTTTGCCAGATGCTGCTTGATCAGATTTTGGCCAGGCGTTGTTAGATTCTGGTTGGGGTCTATGATTCAGATTCTGGCCGGGTGTTGTTAGATTCTTCTTGGGGTCTAGATTCTGATCAGGTTTTTTTCAGATTCTGCTTGAGATCCAGATTCTGACCTGGTTTAGTCTGATTTTGCTCGGGGTCCGGATTCTAACCAGGTTTAGTCAGATTCTGCTTGAAATCCAGATTCTGATCAGGTTTTGCCGGATCATCTAATTTGCATCAGATTCATTCTGCTACAAGGTTTGAATTATTTGCCCAATTTCTGTATCATCTCAAGTTTGCTCTCAGGGTCGTCTTACAGTTTTCTGATTTTGCTTCTAATATCATGAGATGCTTGATATAAGTCGAGAGTAAGGGTTTGGATCATTACAGTGCAGTGCTCAGAGATTACACCTTACATTCCCTACATATGTCACACCCCAGGAATTCAAGCTACTTCCCGGGGGGTCCAGGGAGGAGTCAAATTAATCATATGTATGAATGATGCCTATAGATTAAAGCGAGATATTTCTCAGATTTCTTGAAATATTTCTCAAAATTATTAAATATCTTAAATTGTTAAATATTGAGAGAACGGTTTGGTTGAAAGCTTGAGAAAGATATTATGAAACTATAATTTCTGTTTTTATTCAGGAAGATCTCCGTCCTTCCAGCTGTCTGGTAGTCCGCTAACCTGTGATTGTGAATTAGAATGGTTATCTACCTACAACCCAGGGCCCCTCAGCCCCCTGATCTCAGATTTCTCCGCCCTGGCCTGTTCTCCGCCCCTAGCTCCGGGTCCCCCAATACCACTGGGTCTGGTACCTGAAGGAATGTATGTTTGTGAATACAGATCTCACTGCTTCTCTCTGTGTAGATGCTGCACCTTCCTAGCTTGTGATTGCAGGATGAAATGTCCTGATCCTTGTAACTGTTATCATGATCAGGTAAACTTAGTTTTAACAATCTAAACCTGACATAAACCTAATCTAAACCTAATCCAAACCTAACCTAAACCTGACCTAAACCTAATCTAAACCTGACATAAACCAAATCTAAACATCACTTAAACCTAATCTAAACCTGACCTAAACCTAATCTAAACCAGACCTAAACCTAGTCTAAACCTCACCAAAACCTAATCTAGACCTATTCTAAACCTAACTACATCTTCTAGTCTAATTATAAACCAAATTACTTTTTCTTCTAGTCCTATTCTATACTGCACTACACGTTTTTGACCTATTCTAAAACTGATTACTCGTCCTAGAACTATTCTAAACTCTAACTACCCGTACTATATATATTCACTCTAGTCCTATTTGGATGATATATGATGTGTATATTAGTCCTAAACCTTGTAGTCACTTCGAAACAAGTTTAAACCTTGCTCTAGTTATGTGTCCTGACTATTGAATACTCCTCCCTAAACCTACATTTTTTATATTTCTTTATCCTAAAATGTTAAATCTTGTGTCTGTGTATAGGATTAGCATCTACACAGAATATTTTTATATAAAACCGCATTATCTCTTTTTATCTTTTTCCCTCTACTTTAATGGATTAGAAAAAGTAAAGGAATAATTTCTCCATTTGCAAAAGGTTTGTGTATTGAATAGTCCCCAGCTGATCTATAGGAGGAATTTTATTACCCTCTCCTAACAGTAATGCTTCCTATTCCAACCATTTAAAGATGGTGCACTAATATAGTAGATGGGGTTAAGTTAAAGTAATATTATTTTCAGGCCTGGAACCTGAACATGATCCAGTGTGGGTCGAGGAACCTGAGCAGGGTTCTCAGAGAGATACCCATGGATTCTACAATCCTGTATCTGGATGATAACCAACTGGAGAACCTAGGGACGGAAAAGTTTCTCGGGAGAAATCGTTTGTCCATCCTGTATCTAAACAATAGTGGAGTTGAGCAGATTAATAATAGAACCTTTCTTGGACTCCGGGGACTAAAGGAACTACACCTGGAGAACAATAGGATAGATTCTCTACCCTGGGACGCTTTCCAAGAGAGCTCTGAACTAGAGGAACTATATATTCACAATAATCTTATCCAGAGTATTGGAAATGGAACCTTCTCCGAACTTTCTAATCTCAGAGTTCTCACTCTTCATAGCAACCAACTCACAACTCTTAGGATAGAACTTCATATAATGAACTCTTTGCAAACAATAACTCTGGGACGGAATCCCTGGATTTGTAGTTGTGAACTCTCTCTCATGTTCTTCAAGGTTTCAGAGCTAGTGACTCACAGGGTAGGACAGACAACCTGCTCCGACATTAACAATTCTCAGCAAAACGTTCTTACATTCCACTCATCTTGTAAAGATCTAGACGTACAGGCTGTATCATCAAAATCATCATCATCTCCGTTCCTCATTCTTCTCCTCACATCTACAACAGTGATCATCATCATCCTTGCAATATCTGTGTTTCTAGTCTTAAAGAGGAACTCTATCACAAGATGGATTTACTCTAAAACCTCTTCACCCAAGGTAGAGGATCACTGTCAGTATTCTCCAATGATAAAACTCCCTCCTCCAGAGAGCTTAAAGCGTTCTGCACCCAGCATAGCCGAGTACAGTGCGTATCTACATTACTGCCTAGCAGACGATGATTATGTAAAAAATGTTTTATCTCCTAAACTTGAATCTATTGATAGTAGATACAGGATCTGTTTACACCAACGGGATTTACCAAAATCCTGCACAGTAGGGCAGGCGATCAGCCACGCTGTTGCGAACTCACGGTGCTTACTTATCCTGGCCTCCCCAGCCTACTTCCTGTCTAGTATACCCACCTACGAGCTACAGATGATCCTTAGCGAGGTTCTACCCAGATACACTTCATATCCAGTAATAGTTGCAGTCTCCCACTCATCGGTTCAGGAGATGAAGATGAAGTTTCGACAGATCGTTGGCTGTCAATCTGATACATGGACTTATCTTGAGGTTTCAGATATTCTCTTCTATGACCGGGTTGCGAGCCTGGTAGGAGGAGGAGGAGGGGGAGTGGAGCTTAGCAGTGATTCCTCGTCCTGTAGTACTAAATCTACTGCTGCTAGTACACTTCCAGCCAGGGTTTCTGGACCAAGGGTGATATGCAATCCTTTAGACAGGTTTACATCAGCTCCAGGAGAGAATATCTACTCTACAGTAGTAGATCCAGCTAGTGATGAGGGAGAACCAACCTACCAAACAATATACTCGGACCAAACTCTCTATATAGACAGGAACCTGGAGCTGGTCAAACCTAAACCATTATCCAGGTTTAGAACTCTGCAGTAGAGAGTTGTATACTGTATAGATAGATATATTATATGTGGTTTTGCGAGTTAATAAAGATGTTCGATATTTAATCCTTCGTCAATATAAACGTTTTAATATTTGGAAATTAGAGAAAGAAAAGAAAACGAGCGAACCAAGTATTAAGCTATGTCTGTTGGTCCAAGTTGAATTTTTGACGCCAATTTAGGGCTAATACAATTATTTTTGACTACTCCTTCTCAATTTTGTTTGCTAATCCAAGTAGTACTTTTGACATGTTGCATAGCAAACACAGATATTTTGGACTACGCCTTTTTGATTTTATTTGCTAGTCCAAGTCGAATTTTTGACAGCATTGCAGAGATAATACGGACTACTCCTTTTAAACCTTGTTTGCTAGAATAAGGAGAATTTTTGACAGCATTGCAGAGAGAATACAATTATTTTGGACTACTCGTTTTAAATTTTGTTTGCTAGTATAAGGAGAATTTTTGACAGCAATGCAGAGAGAATACAATTATTTTGGATTACTCCTTTTAAATTTTGTTTGCTAGTATAAGGAGAATTTTTGACAGCATTGCAGAGAGAATACAATTATTTTGGACTACTCCTTTTAAACCTTGTTTGCTAGAATAAGGAGAATTTTTGACAGCATTGCAGAGAGAATACAATTATTTTGGACTACTCCTTTTAATTTTTGTTTGCTAGAATAAGGAGATTTTTTTACAGCATTGCATTGCAATACAATTATTTTGGACTACTCCTTTTAAATTTTGTTTGAAAGAGTAAGAAGATTTTTTGACAGCATTGCATAGCGAATACATTTATTATGGACTACTCCATTTTAATGCTATTTCGTCAGATAAAGCAAAGTTTAATCTTGATGTTTGAAAGGAGTGGGGTAGGGTTGGAGTGGGGTTGGGAGTGGGGTAGGGGTGGGGTAGGAGTTTAAAAAAAAGAGAAGAAGTTTCCAAGAAGCAGGTTTCTAAATTTAATAAATAAATCTCAATTAGTTCTTCTTTCATTTGAGAGATAAACTTTTTAATTAGTTTTATTTTCAAAACATTGTAATAAAGACGAAAGTTTAAAACTTGTAAAAGAAGTTCTATAGTGCATACTAACTAAGCTGGTGTAGAAATAGGTTTCTTCTAAAACATTTTATAATCCGTTCTAAGCCCTATTACAAACACCTTCGAGTGAAATAAGCAACAGTGGTATAGTAAAAGGGTAGGAAAAAAAAAATATCTCATTTTTCTTTCCCTTAACTCAACCTTTTATTACAAAGTCAAAATTATCAATATACAAGATTAAAGTCAATAATAAAAGTTTTGCATATTTTTTGGTGAATTTTTAGAATTACAAAAAATCATAATTTTGAGGAAAAAACAAACAAAATTAGATACAAAATAGATGTATAAAGTAGTAATCGTTGTTTGTCTGGTTGTTAGTCTGTCGGGAATGTTCTTGGCTTGTTTTTGAAATTCTAAGTTGAGTGGGTTGACCTTTATAGGAATAATTCCAGGCAAAGCTGGGTTCCAAAGCTGGTAGATATATACAAGGGTGGATCCAGGTCTTTGAAAAGGGGGGGCGTCAAACTTCCTAATAAAACTTTGATGGGGGGGGGGGGGAGGAGCACCGAGCGAAAGTTGAGAGGGAGAAGGGGCTGCAGAGAGCAGAGTCCCCCGCAATTTTTTTAGGGAATTATCATTAAGTGTTCAAAATAGCTAATTACTCTTAAAATATATAAAATATTGCCACCTTAAAACTGTACTTTTTGCATTTTTTACAAAAATAAAAAAAGGCTCCCTCAAATAAGGTTTAAAGATAATAAATGTAAAAAATAACTAGTCTAAGGGAAAATTAAATTTTAAAAGCAGAGTTCAAAAGAGTTCAAAAATATTAAAAATTGCGCAAGCTATGGTCAAATAAACGTTTTTTCTCTTATTAAATGTTTTTAGTAAGAAAGATTGTTTCATTGCTTTTAATCGGTCGATTTTCAATATTTTTATATTCGGTAATTTTGATGCTAATCAATTTTAAAGATAGAAAAGAATCGTATTCATTAACTTACAGCGTTGATTAAAATCTATCGAATTGATGAAAAGTAAAACCATGATTTATCAATGAATTACGAAATGAATGACCCTCTCAGGGAACACAACACAAACATTATATTTAAACATTTAAAAATTTATAACTATTAATTACTACTTAACCGGGAGATTAAGGGAGGATAATTAAATTGAGGGGAAAACCACTTAGCCGAGGGCCTCCAGACCTTTTTGGGGTTCTAAACCTCACGAGAATAGGCTTATTTGATTAAATTATTAGCTTTTTTAAAGCACCTCAAAGTATTTACTGAAAAACAAGTTACAGTAAACTTTTAAAGGGACAGACCGGCAATGTAAGGTAATTAAACTGAGTATGCAGTGTTGTTGACAAATTCTTTAGAATTCATTTGAGACAAGTGAATTATGTACGATGTATAATTACTGAGTTTGAGCACATAGTCGACGTTCAAAATCATGAATTTGGGTGGGTACGTTTTCAGAATCGTTTTTTCAATTATTAGATAACGACGTCAAAAAATATAGTAAAAATTCTATAATAAACTAATTAGATGTTTAGGAACATATTTCTCGAAAGAAATTTGTCAATAAATCGAAGTTAGAATTAATTATTTTCTTTTTCATCATTTTATTGAATTTCTTATTTTCTATGACTGTGTTCGCAGATTTCTTCAAATTCTTTAAATGTCGTATTTTTAATAAAAATTCCAGAAAATCTGCAGAAAATCTTTGTGATTAAAGAGAGATTATAAGAACTAATTATTGAATAAGATTACTTATTTTCGATGATAAGAGTTAATTTCTATTTTCTCAACCTGTTCTAAAACAACTAATTAGTTTACTGTAGAATTTTGTTATACATATTTTGTCGTCGTGAATTAATAATTAGAAAAACAATTCTTAAAACGTATTTTCCCAAAAGTACGAGTTTGAACGTCGACTTTGCGCTCAAACTCAGGATTTATAAGTTTTATATGTCTCAAATGAATCCTAAAGAATTTGTCCACAACACTGCATATTACCTTGCATAGCCGGTCTGTCCCTTTAATTTAGTCTCCAGAAAAGGGGAGGGGGCCGGGGTCAAAAGATACGAGAAAAAGAGGGGTTTTCAACCCCCTCCCCTGTATCCGCGCCTGGGTATATAAAAGCATTATATCATATGAATATCTTTTTAAATCCAAATAAACCTATGTTCTGTGTAATTTTGATATAAATTAATTCCAAGAAAAGAAATATGCATTTACTTAATTCCATATACTTTAATAACTTTGACAAACTTTGGTACAAATTTGCCTTCATATGATTATATAGCTATTACATATTATTTTTCCAACGAAAGCCAACATGTATTTAACGATTTATGTTAAAGGTTAATTTACATAAATTCCCCCAAGGGCAAGAACACTTTTAATTTCTTTATAATTTTTAGAGTTTTTCTCCATTTGCAGATATCATTATTTGCCGAACTCTGAATAGTTAATTTTGTAAAACTATATATTGCACAAAAGGAAAACGCAGTGGAATTATTGATGTTTTCGTTACAAAATCTCTCTTAGGATTTGAAAATCGTGCATTTATTAAGCTTTAGATTTCAAAAGCAATAACATACTTTAAAAAACATGTGAAGGTTTTGAAATTTTAATATTTTTTTGATTTTCAGAAGTCCATAATAAACATTTAAAAATGTTTCCAATTTAAAAAAAAATGTGAACAAATTAATCTGAAAAAGTAAGCAACGTTTGTTTTTATTTTTCCGATAAAGATTTTGCTTTAAAAATGAAAATAGTTGATTGAGCGAAGGAAGAGAGTCTTGAGAGATACTAAAGAAAACTCAATCAACTAATCAATTCTCTAGTCTCTAGTTACCAACCCTGGCTGAGATTCTAACATTCTTTTCTGAAAACCCTATTTCACAAACACCTTGGAGAAACCATTGAAAACATACTTTGAATAATATAAAACAATGGACTATCACAAACAAAAATATAAAAGCTCACATTTATTTCAAGAGTTCTGTAGTTGACTGCAGGCAGATTTATTTTCTTAAACTTCACCAAGATCGAAATCTTTCCAGGTTTTTTTCAAATAACATTTTTTGCACTTTTTTAAAATTTTGGGATTTTTAGCCCATAATATTTGAGTTTTCAATTATTGCAGTTCCATGATTAGAGTGAGAATAATTAAACAAAAATATTACTCCACATGAGATTTTATTTTTAATGAACGTGTTTTCACTATTTAAGGTAAAGCATATTTTTTAATGCAAATTAAAAATTTAAATTTCCACGGATCCTCATTTCTCATATTCAGCCCTTTTTGAGCTAAAAAGCTAAAAAAACAGACAAAAAATCGTAAGTCTCTGAAAAAGAGAGTGTTTAAGCTTTTTTGCCTCCAAAATGTCGTTTTAATGGTACTAATAAGTATTTCTAGTAGGTACCTGGTACACACCTTGTGTTTCATGGTGAGAATGGACAAAATGAAAATTCTGATAATCTTTTCATTTACAAACATGGTATCAATTGTAGCTTGCTTGCAACAAAAATACCTATTCTAGATTCATGATTTATTTTAATTAAGATTACAGTTAAAAACAATAACATATTAGTCTATTTAGAAAATAGACAGAGCAAGTTTTCGAATATTAGAACATAAACGTATTGAATTGTAAAGATAAACTGTGTATTTACCCCCTAAAATAAAGTAAGGATATGAGCAAATATACTGTATAATATATAAATGTCTAATACATAGTCCAAACCCTACTTTATTGTCGCCATAAACCTTTCTCAGTTAAATTAAAATCAAATAAAGTTAAAAATAGAAACAGTAAAATGCAAGCTCATATTAATTTGTAAGTTTCATTTTATGGCGATTACTTTCCGGATTCCTCTCAAACTACATGATAGGGCGAAAAAGTGATTACACCATAGATTTAAAAAAGCGATTACATTATAGAGTTAACAAAGTGATTACATTATAGAGTTAACAAAGTTATTACACTATAGAGTTAGCAAAGTGATTAC